TGTTTTTGCTTTTCCTTTTCTTTGTAATTTCATTGTCTTTTTTAATTGTCTTTAAAGTCTGGGAATTTAGCTTTGCAATATGCGATGCAAGTACTTTTTTCATTTTTTTGCAACCTATAGCTAATAAGGATTTTTTGTTGACGTTTTATTTGCAGTTTGGATCTCCGTAATAGTTCCTCGTTTTCATTTTTTTGAGGAGAAGCGAAGAGGGTTCTCCGGCTAGTTCTTTTTTGTGGGAAGCACATCATCACTTTGACAGGGGCTAGACCTCCCTTAAGGAGTCGTTGCTCCTTCAGCTACCGAGAACTGAAGGGGTTACAGTACTCGGTGTTATGAATTTTACTGATAGAAGGATACCGATGGTCCTGGCAGTGCGTGGAGTATCGTCACCAAGTTTTAAGACAAGCCTACTTTTTCAAAGAATTTCTTTCTATGGTAGACGTTTGCAAATAGATCTGGCTTATTGCAAAAGAGAGTAAATCAGCTACGTTCTGGTTGTTTGTTTTGTATAAAGGAAAACTTTAGGCTTTCAAGCAACTATGCGAAATATTAGTGGACCAGAGGCTCCTGTAATGCATCCAGGTTGTGGTGTGCCGCCAATGACTGGGTTATTGCCAAGATCTCCAGGCTCAATTTCAAACATCTTAATACCTTCTTTTTTATTTATTGTCTCCATTTTTAACTTCTTTTTAAATACTGGTCTAATAAAACAGTTTATTCCTTGCTTCTGTGGTTAAATTTGTAGTGACAAAGTAACACTCAGTTTCTGCCTTCATTCGGCATTTCTGGTTGTTGAATTATCGTGCAGTGAAGTTCTCACAGGTTTTTTTTTAATGCATGACTTTCGTGTGCTGGTTTTCAGTCCGACATGCCACCGAGGAAGAAAGTTGAGGAGGAAAGGAGATTTCTGATGGGTCGGCTCGGGACCAATTTAAAAGTTTGTCTTATGGTAGTAATTTGTGTATAAATATGCTTGATTGGATGAATGTGTAATGCAGCCTGGAAAAGACGTTTGAGACTTGGCTGTGCAACAGCCGCTTTGCTTAGCTACATATATGAGAGCTTTCCAAAGCTTTTCGACTACAATTAGTACATTATATTTTAGATGGGTATTGTTGGCCTACCAAATGTGGGTAAAAGTACCTTTTTCAATGTGCTTACAAAAAGTCAAGCTCAAGCGGAAAATTTCCCCTTCTGTACCATTGACCCTAATGAAAGTTAGCATTTTCTTTGTATTTTTTTGTTGTATACGTACATGATGTTTTATGTGTAAAATTCGGTTGTACTCATTTTTGCAGAATTCTTATATTTATTCAGGTCGAGTTGCTGTTCACGATAGTAGATTTGATTGGTTGGTAGAACACTACAAACCTCTCAGTCGTATCCCAGCATTTTTAAACGTAACTGATATAGCTGGACTGGTTAAAGGGGCTTCTGAAGGCCAGGGATTAGGCAACGCCTTTCTTTCTCATATCAGCGCGTGTGACGCTCTTTTTCATCTCTGCCGGTAAGAACAATAATTCATTAAGATTTGCATCATTCTGTCGTGTTCCGTCATGCTCTTGCAAAGCGACCTTCTTTTTCATCTTATTTCCTTACGCCATATATAATTTTTTTAATTTTGTGGCTTTTAGGTACTGTAGCAGAATGCTCTAATCGTAACTAGTGTTTCATTCAATGACTTTGAGTTCATCTAAAAAGCTTTTGAATTTTTAGTCACAATATTTCACTATATTTAATTCTCTAGCTTATTCTCTGCTCAAAGCACAGCAAAGATTTAATTTTTTATGATCTTTAGGGATCTTTAAATTTCATTCGAGAATAAGGTAGACTTGGAAGCTTTTGTAGGGCTTTTGATGACGATGATGTAACTCATGTCGAAGGTGACGTTAATCCAGTTAGGGATTTAGAAATTATCAGCAACGAGTTGATCAAAAAAGATCTTCAGTATTTGGAGGGTGCTATCGACAAGCTGGAAAAACAGGCTATTCGCGGAGGTGACAAAAGCAAAAAACCTGAATATGAAACTTTGTTAAAGATAGGCGTTTTATGTAGTATGTCTTTGTGTTGCAGCTCTTAATAGGTAGCCTTTTTTCTTTGTTGTTGTTCGTAGTGAGTGGAATTCAAAAGCAGAAGGTGGCTTATACCAGACGCTATGCTGTAAAAGTATTTCACTGTATGCATTAGCCAAGTATCATTGGGTTTTTTTAGAAACAGGAGAGTTCAGCATGTAGTTTTAGGTGCAAAAATGTTTGACAGAGAGTGGTAAACCAGTTCGACTAGAAACGTGGAATGAAAAAGAAATTGAGGCTTTAAACCATCATTTGCTGCTAACGGCGAAACCTGTTGTTTATTTAATCAATTTATCTGAAAAAGATTATATTCGGAAGGTATTTTTTACTTGAAGTTACGTAGAGATTTTGACTTTTGTCTGGAATTTGGATGCAGCAAAATAATTATTTTATACTGCTTTGACTTTTTTTAAGAAAATAATTTCAAAAAAAGCAACGGGCTTTTTTCATAAATTAAATTTTCAAATTTTTTTAGTTTATTTTTTCCTGCATCTTGTTTACATTTTTTAGAAGAATAAATGGCTAATGAAAATTAAAATGTGGTTAGATGAATTTGATCCAAATGCAGTTTGCATTCCGTTTAGTGGAGTCCTAGAACTAAAACTCCTCGACTTGCCTGACGACGAACGAGAAAATTACTTCAAAGAGAACGGCTGCACAAGGTATTCGTTTATTTCACGTGGTGTTTCATGGAAGGTTCTTGCTCTGAGAAATTCATGCTAGTTCCCTCTAATCTATTTTGAGTTTCAATGGTTGTTGGTAATTTGAGCCTCTTTTATGAAGCACAGTGCAGATTTTCTCAATTTTCTTATTAAAGAGTATTTCTATTGGCGGTTCAACGATTCGTGTCTTTACGTTCAAAAAAGATTTTTTCATTTTGTATAAATTGGTTGTCCTCTTCCGTTTTGTCTGACCAATTCTTAGTAACGTTTTTCATAAAAGGCAAAATTGGCACTCACTTTAATACAGAGTTTACTTTTCAGTGCATTGGAAAAAATTGTTAAGAACGGATACAAAGCTTTGCAATTGGAATATTTTTTTACCTGTGGGAAAGATGAAGTTAAAGCTTGGACTATACAGGTTAGAGGTTGATAGTGATCGCACGTTTAGGAATTGTTGTATAATTTTTGTGCATTGTTTTCAGTTATTCAGACAGCATTCTGTTAAATTGGTACTTTCTTGTTCTATTTTTCCGAATTTTTAGTTGAGGTGGAGGTCTTAGCAATCTTCACCATAACTGTAGGTTTAGTTGAAGAAAGTCTTCGTGTTTGTTATTCTATTAAATCTAAACATTTGGTGACATGGTGCACGAATAAGCTTCTTGCCTTTACTACCGTTTCTGGACTTACACGTCGCAAATTCAGCTACCGCATTGCATTTTTTGAAAAAAATCTCTTTGTTAACTATATACTGAGCGTGTTCTGGAGGGATTTTAGAAGGGATTTCACAGTGCATTATAGACATTTAATTCTGCAAAACACATCTTTTTGAAGAAGTAGGAAATGGATATGCAACTTAGTAATTCATTAACTTAGATTAGTGAAAGTTGGCGTGCTTCTATGTGTGCAAGAAGTACTATTTTTTTAAACCGAATTTGGCATATTTTAGAAAACCTTGATTTGGCTCCTTCTTTAGAAGATTAAATTTGCCGAGAGCCATCTGATGGAGTATTCTCTATACTTTACAGATAATTTTGAATTTTTTATTTTCCTTCTTAATTTATAGGAGCAATGAAAAATCCTTGTCTTATAATAGCCAAAAAATATTACATTTTTGATTCTTTTTAAGGATATATTTAGCGTAGAGTTTTTTCTAGGGTGAAGTGAAATTCAAAAAAGATAAATTATGAACAGGTAGATTACGCAAAAGAGATTTCGTATTTGCTGAAGTCTATAAGTAATCGTGATTTTTTTTTTTTTTTTTTCAGAGTATTTGAAGGTTTGTAGCTTCGTTCACCAGTGACAGATTTTCCTAATCTTTGTTTTTTACGGCACTTCATGTCTTATAGGATGTACAAAAAAGTTACGTTAAAAACTTCAGTGGTTTACATCTGAAAATTTTTCTAAGAATTTTTTTTTTTGTAGACAAGAGCCCTACATACAGAACATAAAAGTTAAAAAGTGAATATTGGATTGGATTGGGGGTTTGCGAAACGAGAACCGAAGCAAAATCACAGAACTCCTAACATTTACTTGCAAAGTGTTTTCATTTTCTTATCGCGTAGTTCCTTTTTTCTGCAAGGTACGCTACGCCAACGCACAGTAGTCTAATAGTGAAAAAACAAGTTAGTTTTCTCGAAATAGACAAAGTACATTGGATTTGAAAGGACTTGTGTAGAAAGAGTACGGATGTTTGTATAATATTTACGTGATTCTTTAGAGTAGTTTCCAGGTGTTTCTATAGTTAAAAACTGGTTACACAATGTTGTTGCCCTAAATGGCTTTTAAAAGTGATTTACCCAACCACAGTGTGCTGTTTCGGCCGATTCCCGTCTGAAAATTTGAATCAGAAATTTATAAAGAGTGAGGACAAAAGTATTTTTAGTTCCCAACTTGAAAGTGTAATTTTTTCAGAAAGGGACGAAAGCTCCGCAAGCTGCTGGTAGAATACACACCGACTTTGAAAAGGGTTTCATTATGGCTGAAGTGATGAAGGTAGAGGACCTGATGGAACTAGGTTCAGAGAGCGCGGTTAGAGGTGCTGGAAAATATCGGCAGCAAGGAAGGAATTACATCGTCGAGGACGGAGACGTCATCTTGTTTAAATTCAATGCTGGTGCTGGTCTGACGTCAAAAAAGAAATAACCGTGTTCTACCTTTTTGAGGGCTAATGGAAATGAAAGAAATATTGTTATTTAGTTCAAACTCTTCTTTTGCTCTTGATAACAAATAAGTAAACAAATAGATAAGCAATTAAAAATAAATAACTAAATAAATAAATAAATAACTAAATAAATAACTAAATAAATAGATAAA